TGACAAAGGATATCCTTATTTTTTATCAAACCTTGATATGTTTTTATTTCTCATGGGAGAGAGGTTTTGAGGTATAAAGTTGCCATGTCATTCCAATAAAGTATTTGTTCTCTGCTTCTCTGCCTGTGGTTTCTTTCACTGAGAGGAGTAAGAAAAGAAACAGTTCAATACTGGTCTTTGGTACCACTTCCAGTTTTATTTACACCCACTATAGTCATATGGGGACATTTCTGTGGCAAAGGAATCTGCAGCCCCCCGTGTGGTGATGAATGTTTCCTGTTAGTGGCCTCACTCTTTACCCCCACTCTGGCCTCCAGGATAGAGAAACTTTCCTATCTGAGATTTGAGGTCCACCTGACTCTTGAGCTGCTGAGAGGGGAGGTGATTGTGATGCTGAGCTATGACTCGGATAAACAGGCACAGGGAAGGGAAAGAAGGCGGTGCCTCTACCAGCTGCTTAAAAAGAGAAGCCCCTGGTGCATGGCCAAGACACTTCCCTACCAATTCCGGGTAAGTTGCCCTACTCCCGTGCACGTGCCCTCCCTTAGCTAAACTCCCTTTGATAAGTTATCGCCCCCTTGAGTTGCCCAGTGTATCCACCTCTGAGTATATCTCCAAAGAACAGGGTAGCTTCTCGCACTTCCTTGAACTTCCATTTCTGACCACCATCCTTGGAGACCAGCCCATCTCTAACACCTCCTGATTAACTCCTAGGCCAGTAGGACCACATCTATTCCTAACTCTACTTCAGAGGTGGGGGCAGGAATAAATGGAGGGATTGATGGCTAGTGAGCTAAGCATGCTCAAATAGTTCAAATTATAAACCATTAGGACTTCCCTTGTAAGACAGTCTCTGCAAGTTGACTGCATCAGAGAGCTCACCAGAGGAGCTTGTCCTTCCCTCCCTATTTTCCGTCACACCAGCATCCCACCATGTAAAGGCTTCACTGGGCATTCTCTTAAGACTTTTAGGGAAACAGTCCTCTCCTACTGCCTCAAATGTGAGCTGTTTGACCTTGATAGGCAGCAGCTGTGTAGTGACCTAATGTTTTTATGGTGAGCTAGTTCCACAGGAGCGCTGCTTGGTGGGCCATGCAGCCTGTCGCACTGGGTGCTGCTGAAGGATGAATGTTTCCCCTCTCCACGTGCTGGGAGAAACGATGCTTCCAGGTCAGTTGGCTTGGACTCACTCTTTAGAATGTGGCAAAAGGGACCCCGATGAAGCCTAAAGCCAACTAGTTATTAAGGTACTCACCACAGAAGTGCCAATTTCTAAAGCAAAACTATAAAACCCAGAACTCTGAGTTCCCGAGTTGTGGATTGCCTTCTACATGGGCTGGGACCTTAGGCGAGTCTCCTAAATGCCTTCACGTCCCTCTGGGGAGCTGAGAGAGCAGCTGTAAACCCGGCCATTGCAGGGCTGAGCAGTCCTGCAGCCAATTTACTAACATCAAACTCTGCTGATCACCCATAGACTGGAAAACCGCCTCTGCCCTGGTGACTTGGAGGGCAAGTGCTGAGAGCAGCTTCCATCTCAGCAGTAGCGAGGCTCATGCCAGGGATTCCTTTTGTTTTACCAGTTAACTGGGGTACCTGGATCTTCAGAGCATCCAAACCGCCTCCCTTGACTTAGCAATGTATGTATTAAATGGCTTTTCCCTGTAGAGGTTGTGGCAACTTAGGAAGAGTGTGGCTGGGAGAGAAAGCAGGAACAAATCCAACTAAATGGATGGGCCGCTGTGCTCCTCACTGGAATGGCCACAGCTGGAGTGCGGTGTTCTCAGGGACAATGCATTGTAAGAGCAATTGCTTCTTACGTAACACTACAAAGAAACTACAGAATTGATGTCTCTCCCCTGCCACATCCCACAGATGGTGGTACATAATCAAAAACTGTTCATAAATTACTTGGATTGGTCCTTTCTTCTTTTTTCCTCCTCCCTCATTACAGTTATAAGAATCATTTGAAATACACTTAGATCCATTTGTTTGCATTTTCTTTCAATTTTAGTTAGGTTTTTGTCTTCTCATTTTATTGATTTAATTTTATTTTTTGACTACGTAGACTACTAACATACTTTCAAAGCCAAAACTATTGAATATTTGAGAGGGTACGCAGAGAGGTGTCCCTCCTTCCTATATCCCTGTCATCCCACCCTATCTTGCAGGTATTTAAATTTGTTTTCTCCTTTATCTTCCCTTTGTTTCTTTTATAATGATAGATATGTGTACGTTTACTTATTTATTTATTTATTTATTTGCACAAAGGGCAGCATACTACATATGCTTTTTCGCAGTGAACCTTTTCCACTTAATATCTGCTGGAAAACCCTCCATGTCAATTCATTCAGATCAGTCTTTTTATAGCTGCCTAGTATTCTATTGTGTGTCAGTAACAGTTTATTCAACCAATCTCCAACCTTTACCAATTATATATACCATTGCAACAAATAACCTTGTACATCTGTATTGATTATTGTTGGAGATATTTTTCAATATCAATTTCTAGCATTGAGGTTGTTGAGTAGAAGAGTAGACACCTAGGTTATTGTTGAAGGTTGCTAAACAATGTTGCTTGGGGTTGTACCTCTTGCATTCCCACCAGCAATATGTAATCTGTTATCTAATGAGTTCAATCAGTTCTCACTTTCTCCACTGTTATTATCCTGGACTGAGCACCTCTTTCCTGGATTATGGCCATGGCCTCATAAATGGTCTCTTTGCTTCAGTCTTTTCTGCCATTATCTAGCCTCATCACCACAGCTGAGGTGATGCTTTCAAATATCACTCCGCTGAAACTTTCCAGAAGTGAAGTGACAGTTCTCACATCGGCCTTCTAGACCCTAAATGATCTGGATACCAGCCCAGCACCATCACCCTCTGACCTTGTCCTCACTACTCTCCTTCTTCCTTCCTTTGCTCCCCCTCTTCCTTGATCCCCAGCATCGACCTACATCAGAGTCTTTGCACTTCTGTGTCCTTTGCCTGAAACACTCTTCCCTTTCTTCGCCTTGTATCATCTCCTCCAGATCTTTCTTCTAATGTAACCTTCTCAGTAAAGACTTTCTTGCCACTCAGTTTATAGTTACAAACCATGCCCATCCCAACACCCATCCCTATTCTCTGCTCTATTTCCTTCATAACAGCTGTCATCATATACTTTGCATACCGTTTGTTTATTATGTCTTTTGTTTCCAACTCCCCGTCCCCCTCATTAGAGTAAAATCTCCATGACATTAGAGATGTTTGTTTTGTTCACTGAGTATTCCAGCATTTGGAACAAAGTCTGACATACTGGAGGTTCTCAATAAATGTTTGTTTACTTAAATGAGTGACTTCAATATATCACTCTCTTCTCTGATAGATCAAATATGTAAAAAAAAGTAGAGACATGAATAATGCAATTGATAAAGTTTATTTAATAGATATTTTTAAACAAGGATATATTTGAAAAGAAAACCTCTTTTTTAAAAATGTTTGTGATAGTGTTTTTCAACAGAAGCTATTACATTTTGTGCCCAATCGCTCTTTGTTGTGAGAGCTGCTGTGGTCATTGATGTTTAGCAGCATCTCTGATCTCCACCCATTGGCATACCTCCCCAAGTTGTAACAACCAAAAATATCTCCAGACATTGCGAGTGTCCCCTGGGGAGTAAAACTGCCCACACTTGAGGACCATCACCTAATGGTTACATTCCTAAAACTGAGCCATCCTATACAATAAAAGCCCAGAGACCGGAATGGTGGAACAACCAGAAACCAGAACACCACAGCCCCTTACCCATCTGGCCCCAGTCCCCAGGGAATAGTTAGGGGTAATCAGGCAGGCAGGCAGATTGGTTAAGGGTTATCAGGTAGGCAGGCGAGTGGTTAGGGGCAATCAGACAGGCAAGTGAGGAGTTAGGAGCCAGGATTGGGCCTAAACTGGCAGTCAGACATCTCCCAAAAGATTCCAGATTGCAAGAGGGTGAAGGCTGGGCTGAAGGACATACCTCCTGTAGTTCACAAATTTCATGCACCAGGACTCTAGTAAATACATAAAAAGCCCAAAATGTAACAATAAAAGTTTAAACAAAAAATATCACAACCATTTGGGGCAAAGTCTTCCAAGAAATATTGGAACAAAGTTAACCAAAGCTAATAGGGTGGCCAGATAAAATATAGAATACCCACTTAAATTATAATTTCAGATAATAAATCATTTCTTAGTGTAACTAATATTTAGGACATACATTAAAAATGTATCTCTTATTTATCTAAAATTTAAATTTAACTGAGGAATCTTATATTCTTATTTGCTAAATCTGGCAACTCATTATTCATTAATTATTATTATTCATGGTTAACTCATTATTATTGTTATTCATATAATAATATAACATAATTTCCTATAAAAATACAGCCACTATACACAGAATACATTCAGAACTATACTCAAAGCCAAAGATATGTTTGTTGACTCCTTTGTTTCTTAAACAGAGATATGATTAAAAATGAATGAAATATTTAACTTAGCTTGGCCAGCATGGTTCAATGATTGAGTGTCAACCTATGAACCAGGAGGTCATGGTTCAATTCCCAGTCAGAGCACATGCTTGGGTTGTGCACTCGATTCCCAGTGTGGAATATCCAGGAAGCAGCCAATCAATGATTCTCTCTCATCATTGATGTTTCTATTTATCTCTCTCCCTCTCCCTTCCTCTCTGAAATCAATACAAATATATTTGCAGAAAATAAAAATGAGAAAACCACCAAAAATACTAAAGAAAAAAACAAACTGCGTAATCTACAGGGTGCTTCCCAGCGAAGTGGATTTAAAGGAAGAACCTTTCCCACCCTGGCTGCAGCCTTGCCAGTGGGCTGATCCTGCTCCGGGGCTTTGGCTCCGATGCCGTGCTGGACACATTCTAATAAAGCCCTACACGTGTTCGCCCTTCTGTGTGCTCATCAACACTTCTATTGATGCATTTTCCTTTTAAATATCAATATATCACCACACATGCACTGCATGGTATCTGCATTCAATAGTGTATTCTTGCTGGGTGTTCAAAGGGCAGTGCAGTATAAATTCAGTATCTGGCATCATTGGCTTTTTTTGGCTTTGTGCATGCTAAACCTGCTATTTTTATTGAGACACTAGAAGCCCAGTGCACAAAATTTGTGTATGGGGCCGGGTGGGGGGGAGGTGACAGCCCAGCCTGCACCCTCTCCAATCTGGGACCCCTTTGACAAATGCAGGACTGCTGGCTCCCAATTGCTCACCTGCCTGCTAGCCTGATCACTCCCTAACCACTCCCATGCCAGCCTGATTGATGTCTAACATTGCCCCCAATGTTCCTCCTCTGCTGGCCTAGTCACCCCTAACTGCCCTCCCCTGCGGGGTTGATCACCTCCAACTGCCCTTTCTTGCAGACCTGGTCCCTCTCAACTGCCCTCCTTTGCAGGCCTGGTGCCTCCCAATTGCTCTCCCCTGCTGGCCATCTTGTAGTGGCCATCTTGTGTCATATGGGGGCAGGATCTTAGACCACATGGGGGCAGCCATCTTGTGTGTTGGAGTGATGGTCAATCTGCATATAACTCTTTTATTAGATAGGTTAGAGGTCTGGTGCATGGGTGGGGACCAGCTGGTTTGCCCTAAAAGGTGTTCCAGATCAGAGTGGGGGTTCCCTTGGATATGGGGCGGCCTGAGCGAGGGGCCTATGGTGGTTTGCAGGCCAGCCACACCCCCTGGCAACCCAATGGAGGCCCTGGTATCTGGAATTTATTTACCTTCTACAATTGAAACTTTGTAGCCTGGAGTGGAGGCTTAGGCTGGCTAGGGCAGGTGGAAAGCTTGGCTTCTTCCATTGCCAGAGAAACCCAAGCCTCCCTCCTGCTCTCTGTGGCTATAGCCATCTTGGTTGGGGTTAATTTGCATACTCACTCTGATTGGCTTGTGGGCATAGCAGAGTGATAGTTAATTTGAATATTACTCTTTTATTAGGTAGAATTATTTTTTTAAATATTAAAATAAAATAAAAATAAATATATTACCACACATCTTTTTCATGCTATGTAATGTCCATCAGGTCTTGTCTCCAGCTGCTGATCTTTTGATTAAAGGAAACTCCTGAGTTACAAGTATAGACATCATTGTTTTAGCTGATGGCTTCAGAAAGGGCCTACTTTCTGTTCACTTAGTTGATTCATTTCTATTAGCTGAAACCTGGAGAATCTCACTGTTTCTCTTACCTATTACCCTTTAGTACCTTTACCGATGAGTCCAATATTTTCAAGGCATCTCTCCGACATTGTCAGGGAGATGGCAATGGCTCCCTGAATGCATCAGCACTTGAGACAAGAACCGGTGAGTGACTGGACTCCCCGAAGGAAGTGATTCTATCAACGAACTTTGAGAACCGGGATGGGAACAAAGAAATAGGCCTATTGTGTACAATGAGCTGTCATTGTGTTGTCATTTCCTGTGTAACCGTCTCCTTATCTGCAGTGGCTCTGTTGCCAAATTTCATCTTGGAAGAGCATTACAAGGGGAAACCAATCCAAATCTTTATGTAGCGTTTCCCAGTTAGTAAACACAGGATTTCCTGCATGCGAAATGATTTCAACAAATTGCCTTCCAACGCGGCCTAGTGACACTGTTCCGTCAGGCGCAGATAAGCTTGCTGATGGAAACCTCCTCCAGCTGAGCAAGGGGTTTTGCAGCGTGTGGAGCCAAGTTCACAAAGCTGCCCCTCCCCACCCAGCCTGCGAGCCACAGAAATGAGTGTGCATGTCACACTGATTTCCACCTGGTCTTAGTATTTTCATGCCTTCCCCCTCCTCCTCCCCAACCCCCCCAGCAGAGTCTAGAAGTATGAATCACTGTTTTCTTCTGAGAGCTCAAGGGGGCAGCCTGGTGACTGTTAAAGAGGTAGGTAGGTGGTCAACAAACGCTTCTGGGTCACTAATTTTAGAAATAGTAAGCTGAAGGATTCTGGAGGATGGACGCTGAGTTTTCAAGCGCTGGCATTTATTTCTGGAAGGAAAGGCTCAACTTTCCAATTCAGAGTCTCCAGAGGAAGGAAGTGTGTTTAGCAAAGGGACAGAACTCCCTTCCTCTCGGACATAATTCTGGTCACACCAGGATAATTTGTAAATCGGCACTAGAAACAATTCCTCTCCCCATTTCCCATTCCCTAATAAGGTGCTTGTGATGAACTAAGTGATGGAAACTCTCTCCCTGGACTTCAGTCCCTCTTTGTTTTACAATCTTAACGTGAGTGAGTTTCTTCCGGAAGCATGTGGTTGCATAATTCCCAGGACACACAGTTGGCCTGAAACTCATTTGTAGTTTTAGTCAACACAAGGATGGACCCAAGGGTCATAGCAACTGCTCCAGTTTGCCGAAGGAGAGAGGATGTGCAGATTTGGATTATGGATCAAAATTCCACAGGACTGTCTTATCCCTGCTGTTGTGTGGAAGTCAGTGCGGAGGAGACCTTTTCAGGAAAAGCTAGAGTAAACTGCATTTGTAATATTCTTCCTACAGTGTTGCCCCAGTTGCTGTGAAGCATAAACACAGGCTGTGTGCCTGGACACAGTTCCTCCGAGGGTCTTGGTGATCATGGAACACAAATCTGCAGCCTGGGTGAATTGCCACCATCCCGCCTGTTCGTCCCCAGGGCCTGGTTGTTCACAAGAATATCTAGCTGTTCACCATGTCTCCAGGCATTCATGGATTTATGAAAATGACCTCATTAAAGTAGGATTGTATAAATTTCCATTGTTAACATTTGAGAGGAAATTTCCTTTTAGAATAATAACTACCATTATTAAGGCCAGACGCTGTAATAAGCAATTCCCATAAAACAACCCAGTAAAAGTCCAATGACTCATATTTTACAGATGAGGAAACTGAGGCTCAGGAAAATTAAAAGATTTACTGAAGGTCACACAAAATTCAACCAGAACCTGACCAATGAGTGTGAACCCTTCACAAATATTTAATAAAAAAGAAATTGCAGCCCTAGCCAGTTTGGCTCAGTGGATAAAGTGTCGGCCTGTGGACTGAAGGGTCCCAGGTTCAATTACAGCCAAGGGCACATCCCTTTGTTGCAGGTTCCTCCCCAGCCTGAGCCCTGGTTGGGGTGCATACTCACGTTAAGATTGAAGGCAACAAATCTATATGTTTCTCTCACCTCAATGTTTCTCTCTGTCCTTCTCTCTTTCTTCAGCTCTCTCTAAAAAATCAATGGAAAAATATCCTCAGGTGAGGATTAAAAAAATTTTTTTTTTGCAAAAACACTGCCATTATTATCTGATTTTTAATTTTTTTTCTTTTATGTTGATGCTGCTAATCTTTGAGATTAAAACTCCAGCATAGAACAGAGCCTGTGACTCTCTGAGGCCATTTTGTTTGCTGTTGCAAGTGGGAATTTTCTAATAATGGAACAGTAGTCACAGGATCAGAAGCTGGAAGGGACCTGGAAGGACTGCAGTGGACACATGCTTTAGTTTCCTACCATGACTCCCCCTTCTTCTGCTGACCACGCTCCCCCACAAAAGGGTCAATCAATGTTCCCACCCCCCAGTTCAAGGAATGGGCATGTGGCCTGATCAAGGCAATCAGAACTGGGGAACGCAGTCTGGTTCCCTTGGTAATCCCTGAAGGGACAGCACGTCGATCTTGCCACTCAGAACCCAGGAGTGGCCCTGGTTCCGGTCCTGTCTGAAGTTTAGTTCATCAGCTTTCCCAGCGATTCTGAAAACTGGCCCAAGTCAGATGCTGTGGGTGGGAACCGAAGACTCCTAACTGATACAAATGTCTAATCGGGTCTTCGGGGGCCTGCGGGGCCAGACAAGTAGGCACCAGTTCCCTGCTTCTGCTTCAGCCAAAGGGCTCTGTTGGTTATTAACAAGGGTTTGGTTATTAAAGTCTGAAACAGCACGAATCTAGTCTGAGCACCCTCGGCCCTTGGTAGCTCAAATTGTGACCATCTAGCTCAGCCCCTGGGGACTTTCGCTTTGGCTGTTATATTCATTTATTTTGCAAATAAACTCAAACGTGAGGAGGGGGTGGCCCCTACGAGCCCCTTTCATCTCACCACTGTTTGTACCCAATCAAGACAGACAGATGTGGGAACCACCGCCATCCCAGCTTACCTCCCGCTGACAACTTTTCAAACCTGGTTCCGAATTGCATCTGAACTTCCCGTTACACAACGTCTTATCATCACCGAAGTGCAAATGGACGATGGCACGTTTGTTTGCATGCATTTTCAGCTCTGGCAGTTTTTATTATCGTTCACTCCGTACCTGTCAAAGGAAATCTGTTCAATAGTTTACTTTGAGAGTTACTGAACTTGAAATTTGTAAAATGTTAAAGGACCCTTCCGAATTCAAAACTAAATCTGAAGAAGCTGACCAGAACTTTTAAGCTACATTCCTGGTCCTGATACTATCCCTCCAAAAAGGCAAGAATCCAAAGGTCTTTGGAAGGGAGGGGAGAGTGAGTAGAGGCTCAAATGTACTTGTGGCTTTTGGCATGAGAGTGAATGTAATCTTATATTTAACAGTGAGTATCTATCGCTTTTCCTAAAAAACAAATTCATCCTTTTTCTTTCTATCTTGTTAAATGAGCTAAAACTAATGTGAAAAACGGAAGGGCATCTAAATGGTTACATCAGGGTTGGGGTGGTTTTCCAAAATCTAGTCGAAGGGAGGCTTACAGCGCGGCGGTCAGAACAGATAGTCCGGATAGGAACCAACTGAATTCCACAAGTTCAGATGGGAATTCGTTTTTAACTTGAAACATATTTTCCACTGGAAGTCATGTTTACAGGGATAGCTGTGTCCTCAAGGTTAGCCGACAAAGGGCTTCCAGACTGTTCTCACAGTCCCCGTGTTCTAGCAAGTAGCTCTAAGTTGAGGTGGAAGAGAAAGGAGCAGTGTGAAAAGCTGACACCCCTTTCTGTGGCCCTCAGCCTGGCTTCCCGGGCCTTCTGCTTCCCTGGTCTCCCTGCGGCTCTCTCTCCAGCTGCTACCCTCAGGTCACCGGAGCACAATTACTAACCCCACATCGTACATGGACATTTCTAGAAGCGGGGCCAAGGAATCTGCATTTTAACTAAGTACCCCCGGGGATCCTTTTACACACTGAG